TAAGCCACAGGTCTCATAGATACAATGTACCTGGACTGGTTACAAACGTTACAGAGAGAGGTTTACATCTGACACCGTCTAACAATTACTACAGTAAGGACTAGGGTGGCTATGCCCATAACTGAAGTTCTACCATTGCTGCTAGCAGTCATGGATCATGAATGTCCGGTGTCAGAAAAAACTTGTCAGAAAACTCGAGTGACCATGACTCTGAAAAACAGTTAGTCATGCTCCTAAGGGGCTTGTGATAGTCAATGTATTATTTGTCGGATTGTTGCATATGCATTATTTTTTTAATAAAAAAGCTGAACATTGATTTTCTACTCCCCAACTCAACCTGTTTTAGTTTTCTACTCTTCTCATGTACTGAAGTCAGGAATGTTGATTGCAGTGTTGACTTTGCTTTTTTCATGCAGTCGGGACCCAAGTGAAAAGATGCAGAAGACAAAAGAGGATAGAGTGATGCAGAAGAGTGGAATGGAAGCACAATTGGAGTGATTTACTGGATGCATCGGCAACAGCGACAGCGCAGCGTGTTGGAGCAAGATATGGGCATCCTCTGCTATGGAGACAAAGGCAATGTCACGGTGGCACAACTCATGTTTTCTGAGAGCGATGAGTTTGAGCTCTGCCTGCTGTACCATCCAGCATGTGCCTCTGGCATTTCAACCGAACGGAGTGTCAACAAAATGCAGATGCCTCTTGACATGAAGATAAACACCTACTCGTGGATGACTGACAATGTCGACGTGCCCATTTGCAGAGGCTTAATGGGTTCACCCCCTCCCGGACTATAAATCATCGCCAGTTTTCGTATTATGTGATAAATTAGATATAACAATCCTAATTGATTTGATGTCCCTTCTGTGAGCTGAACTTACACAAGAGCTTATATGAGTAAGAATAGCACGTGTCCAATCATGTACAATATTAGAACATACTAGAAAACTAGGCGCGGCTACCTTAGAACACCCATTCTAGATTGAGCAAGAATAATCAACAGCTATTAATGTCGTACATTATACATACAGGTCTTTTAGAGAGGTCTGGTTGGCTCCTATTTGAATCGATTTCTACATTATATTGTGACAATGTTATAAATAAATATGAAGGTTTGGGTAAATTATGCTTGAAGTTACGAGTTCCAATTTTGGGTCTAATTGATATGTTGTAAGCCTTTAAAACAAAAATGTGTGGTCGGTTTCAGAATACTCATAGTACTCAATATAGTTAAGGAATCTGACTATAGTAATCAGGAAACTATGAGGAATTAATTTTAAAGCATCAGATTCTGCTAATACATATACTGAGAAATCTACACATTAATTAGGTAACCAAATGCTTCTACAGAAGACTAAAATACAGTTCTTTCAACCAAGTGAACTTAGGCCTTTGGCCACTGAATTTTCAGCACAACAAATACTGGACTCTAGACTTTTATACTGATGGCGACTCAAAATACAAGCATGGGATTTTGGATAACTGCAGTATTTTCATTTTTTCTCATTTGTTTGAAGCCCTAATTAGAAGCATGTTACTTACCTAATCTGAAACTTAGCCTTTTATTAGATTTAGCGTTGTCAATGTTGCCAACTTACACTGCAGCTGCTAAGTTAGATTGGAATAATAAATCTCATATGATTAAAAACCGTTGTGCCCTGGAAATAGGCATTTGGAACTATTAGTTTATTATATTTGTAGTTATATTATGAGTGGATACTCTGAGTGAAAAAATTAAATAATTTTATGGTCAAAGAAATCGAGCCGTTTTTTGGGAGAAAAAAGGATAACAGAGCAATAAAAATTGAATGGTTAGATAGCAAGCACTCTGGGCAAGAACAGCCTAGAATAATTAGACTAATCATAGATATTTTGCGAGTTCAGCACCAAAGTATAGGAATGAGATCTATATATTGATTTGTCTTTTTTTGCGACGAAAGAAGAATTATATTATATGATAGCTGGGTACATCAACACGTTACAAGCACTCTGGATTACAAAATAGTACCCACGCTGTGAATAGCACAACTCAAAACCTAACTTGTTAGATGCTTTGCAGTATGGATGACCATACAGGCAAACACTCGGCAAATGGCCTGAGAACAAATGCCCAACGAACGACGGCCAACATTTCTGTAGGCGGAATTGAGGAACTTCTTTCTGGTGTCTTCTTCTTCTTTCTGCCATCAAAGAGTGAGGAAGACTGATCTGAAAATTATTCTCCCTAGTCCTTCATCATGGCCAGATCTAACCACAACAAAACGGAAAAGAGACCGGAGAAAATTATTCTATAGCGGCGACATCATCTCCGCCTTGATGCCGCCGTCCGGAAACAAAAATCTCCATGTCGCCATGTCGATGAAGATGCTGACGCTGAAGTTGTCGCCCTCATCTTCAACAGAGCCGCCATAGAGAAGACGATTCCACCATTCCCCTTCATCGTCGCCGGAGAGGAGGAGAAGGAGATAAAACTCCAATACCAAGAAATTTGGCATGGAGACACTAACCCTAATTACTCGATCTACTAGAGAAAACTTATTAAAAATAATGGATCCCCATTCCCTTCAGCCCCGGCGAGATGCCGGAGGGGAAGGGAGGGGGACCAGCAGTGGTGGACGGCGGGGGACGGCGGCAGCAGCGGCGCTAGGGCAGCAGGAGTCGCCCGACTAGAGTCTCCGCTGCAGCGAGACTTTATATATTGATTTGTCTCGTTGCTAACATTTCCATTAAATAGCACGAGCTTGTAGACCAAGTGTGAGTTACAGCATCCCTTGTTATAGTATCTAACTGCAGGCATTGAGGTACAGTAAGATCCTGGCTCGCGTCATATCGCACCATATTGCGCTCGACTCTGCGCTGTCGCCGCCCTGTCACCGCGGGGATGTGCTAGCATCCACGGCCACGGCTAGTGCTCCCACATACTACAGCAGCAGCTCAGCAGCTTGGTCACGGACGCTCCATTCCACACAATGTGCTGTTTGGCTGGTACATTTCACGGCTAATTTCGGATAATTCAATAGTGTTCTGTGAGAGAGAATAAGCCGAAGTACAGCTGATAACTTCAAGATCTTTCTTTGCGCTTGTGAATGGAGGGCAAGGGAAAGGTTGGTGAGCTGGCCACCGCAAGCAGGGATATCCAATGGTGACATCGACGCGGGTGAGATGGAGGAAGAGCCAACGACGATGGAGCCGCATCTGGTGCTCACTGTCGACAACCCTGGCCTGGCCGGTACCCGTGAGAGACGTGACGACGGCGGGAAAGAAGTTGCATAGGGCTGAACGACGAGCCCTCTCGTCATTACGCTAGCAATGGGGGCGGCCGGATGGTAACCTTGCTTGGGTTCAAATTGTGGTAAAAATAGAGCGACATGGCCAAATAACATGCCAGAGGTTGAACTCTAGATTTGAAAGTAAAAGATAGTATAAGCTCTTTAGCTCTACGTTTTGTTGCTGTACGACCATGTTTGCTTTTGCTAGCGTATATTTAGGGATAGAAAATGAAAATGGGCATCTAAATTATCCGACATTGATATCCGCTAAAACTTATAATACAGATATCAGTATTTGTATCTGTGTCTAATGTGGATACTAAATGGATGTATTCAAATTCATTTTTTAGTATCTTTCTTTATCTGATTCTAGATTCCTATTCGACAAAAATATAAAATGTCCGACATTTATCTCTATTCACGAATAACAAGATGTAATGAATCTATTTAAAAGTTTTTCTCTCCTAATTATTGAATTTTGATATTACAAATGATACACTGAAACTGTTTATTTTTCTAATTTAGTTTAAACCTAATATATATTTCTTGTTGCATATTATTTTAATACTTTAATTTATTATTTACTAATGTAAATTATTTTATATGATTTATATTTTCATGATAAATATTATATAAATAATGATTGATTAATTCAAATTAAAATATTTATTGATAACTAATTTTTATGAGCTATCTTTGTCTATATTATATACCCACATATAGCAATGGCTACTTGTTGCCTACCATTCTTATTTCAACTTCTTCACTTGACCTATCATTTGATCATATATTGTCCGTCATAATTTGGTTCACTTCGATATTGGAGATTATTAATTAGAAGTATACTTTGATTCTACTCCGTTTTGGTTATCAATGAAATTAGTAGTAAAATTATATTTATGTATATAGAATTTAAAGACATATGTACTCGAAGTTAAATCGAGTTAATATTTAAATAGAAATCCGAATTGAGACGTCCGTTTTGTATTCTTATTTAAAATAAAATATGGTATATTTGAATTCCGTTCCCACCTGAATCCAACTCGTTTCCGTCTCTAGTATAAATATTGACTTTTGCTCCACAAACGTCCTCCGCATCGCATCCCCCATCGCGGCAAGACCAAACCCTCTAACCGTGCCGCGGCATGGAAGAAGTGGAGAATGGCGTGAGGAAGCTATCACGACCTTCTCCGAAGAAGTCCCCCAGCCCGGAGCAGAGGAAGAAGCCCTCTGCCTCGCCTCCGCCGCCGCACGTCCCCAGGTGGTTGATCCTCCACCTGACGGGCAGGCCGCCGATCAAACACTTCCAGGAGCCCAAGGCCATGGCAGCCCACCGCAACTCCATTCTCTTCTGGCTGACCGTCCCCTTCGAGGATCCTATCTGGTGGCACGACACTGTCCCCTTCCCCGACGACTACTTCGTCTACTTCTGCCACTCCTCGTCCTCGTCGCCACCGTCCCTGACTCTGCTCCCCACTTGCTTCGAGGGTGGCACCACTTGTCCCGAGCTTGATAAGTTGTACCAACCACACCGGAGGCAGCAGCTGCGCGCCATGTTTGAGGAAGAGATAGATAGGCATCCTCAGCCATGGCGACGAAGGCGAGTTCACGGTGGCACAACTCAAGTTTTCTGGGCCCGACGAGTTTGAGCTCTGCGTGCTGCACCATCCACCTCCTGCCCCTGCAACTTCAATGGAATGGAGTGTTAAGAAGGTGAACAAAACTCCAAACATGAGGATTAGCGCCTACTCGTGGAGAACTGACGTCGTCGTGCCCATCGGCAGACTGCTCGTTGATGTTGATGTCCTCGCTGACAGGAAGTGCAACCCAGATCATCAGCAATGGCTCCGTTACATCCCTCTCCCTCACAAGGCAATGTCTCGCCGCCCGTACAGGGATGGTGGTCCACCCGACCCATTGCGGTGTGTCTGTATTCTTACTGAACGCCCTCCTTCGCCGTATCCCTTCACCATAACAGCATGGACTTTGGATGACATCCACGAAGGCAAATGGACAATGGATGTCAATGTCACCATGGGAGCAGAGGAGTTCTTCAGTCTTCTTGGAACTGTTGGCCACAGTTGCCTTCCACGTGTACAGCCAAGTTTTCCTTTGGTTAGCTTGGTTGATCCAGATGTTATCTGCTTCCTGCAGGATGACATGGACCGTGGCCTTTTCTGGATGATTGAGGTCAACATGAGAAACAAGCAGCTGCAGTCAAGCGCCCTCTATATCAGTGAAGAGGAAGAGGAAGAAGGATATCCCCCTAAAAGGGGCCGCAGGAACAATTTCTTTGGCCACCAGTTTATCCCCAGCAAGTTCTCCTCTTACTTGGCTGACGATGCCATCACAAGGTAACATCGTATCGCCTTTTTATCCATGTCTACAACTTTCATTGCATGTTACTTGTGGCATGCTTCAGGAATTATTGTTCTGTTTAGCAGCCTCTAATGTACATTTCAGATCATGAATGCTGTAGGTTGCTAGGTATTTATCATATGAAGTTTCTGTGCTAAATTGACATGTTGAGATATGAATAGATTGATCTGCTAAATTGCATTGTCAAACTATAACCCAGTCTTGTCATTTTTAAAGCCGATATGATGCAACACTATGCAGGAAGCTAGAGAGCAGAAGTGCTTTTCAGTTCAGACTGTGTTTAATCATGACTCCAATTTATAGTTCTGTACGTAGTTGTCAGTAGGCCTATAGTAGTATGAGATTTAAATTCAAAACCAGAGCAGCCCATAAAAAAAATGCGTGGCCCTTACCCAACCCGCACCATACAAACCAACTCTACCTACCCAAACCAAATGCATGTTGTATGATCTCGACATCTTTATATGAACAAACAACCTTGATTGCCATGCTGTTTCTGATAGAAAAATACATTTTCTTTCTTCTTTTAGCTCATTCATTTGCATACTTGCCGTCACATAAAGAAGAAACCTCATAGGTAAATCAATTTAACACAGTAGGGATTAGAGAGGTTATGCCCATAATTGAAATTCTAACACAGTTTATTGGTAACGAGGGATCAGGAATGTATAGAGACAGAAGAAAACCTTGTTAGAGTCCTTAGTGACCATGACTTTGAATAACAGTAAGTCATGCTCTAAGGTAGGAAGGTAATTGTTGCATCCATTCCAATTCCAATTTAGAAGAATGGTATGTGTAGGCCGCTTCCCCAACTCTGAGCTACCTTGTTCAGTTGGTGAAACCGTACCTGCAATTCTTTTAAGGATGGGAGTTGAAAGTATTGAGATTAAGGAATCGAAGCATCTCACTAATGTCAAAGGAATATATAGTTGCATCTTAGTAAGGCCATAGTAGATCTTTTTAATTGCAATGTTTTTCTACAAATAAACATGCAGATGTGTTGACTTGAGCCGGTGTCGGCTTTAAACATGAAGATGATGGACGACAACAACCTTCCTGAAACCAAATGCCCCCGGTTTTACATGTAAAAAATAAGAATAGATGGCAATTATTAGGAGATGGGATGGAGGAATGACCTAACTAGTTTTTTGTTTTCTTCTCTTACTTATTCTCATGTGGGGAACATTGATTGCCTTGTGACTGCTTTCTTTCATGTAGTTGGAAACTCAGTGAAATGTTGCAAAAGGCAAAACAGGGGACAATGATGCAAAAGAGTGGACTGGAAGGACAATTCAAGGAGTGATTTAGTGGATGGATAACAGCCTTTAGAAGATGTCCATTATGCTTTTTCGGAAAGCCCGACAACAAAGTGGAGTGTGGCTCAATCTCTGGCACAAGGGGGACCACACCCACTCCATGAACAAATCCACATGGCGCGCTTTACAAATTGCATTTGGCAATTATGTGGATTAGGGATCTCCCTGGCCAAACCCCACTGACCCCATATATCTTCTCGAAGCGTAATCTTTGTGAGGAGTTATCTCTTACTGTTCTTAGGTGCAAAGACTGGTTATCTTAGTTTTAGTTTTCCTCTTTTGTATAGTTCCTTTTTTCTTTTGTATAGACTTAATCTATAAAATGAGTTTTGTAGGGGGCTTTCCCCTCTTGTTTCCTAAAAAAAGAAACAAAATGAGATTCAACCGGTGTTCCATCTACAACAGATGTCCTGAACATTAATTTTAATGGAGCTTACGTTCACAAAGAGATGAAAGGTGCATGGGGTTTTATTATGAGGGATCAGAAAGGGGAAACAATGATGGCCGGCATAGGAAGAACTGATGTGGTGCATGATGCGTTAAACGCAAGGACCAGACATGTCTTGCAGCTCTATATGCTGCAATAGATCAAAGTATGTTTCATATTCTATTTGAAACCAATTCAACAATCTTAAGATTCTATTTGGGATGGATTCTGGTGGGAAAAAAGCGGCCCAAGGCCCCTAAGGCCCTGTTTGGTTGGGCTTTTGGCTTTGGCTTTTGGCCCCAAAAGCCAAAAGCCCAACCAAAGAGGCTGTTTTTGAGGCCCCTAAAACAGACCACTTATATTTTATACTTGTTTACCACTGCTTCCTTTCCCCACATTGTTTACACATGAATGCGGACCACCAGCTTCCTTTCCCAAGCACACATGAATGCGGAAGCAGCTAGGAGGGGGTTGTGGGGAAAATCACCTCATATTCTTCTCTCCCTCCACTTGCGCCTTACTTTCCCTTTGCTTCTTCCTCTATCCATGTTGGTCGTGCTCGCCCTTGGCGGCCGTGCCCATGGGCCTGCTACCCTCATTCTTTGTTCTTGCCGGCCGCTGCCCTCTTCCATTCGCCCATGCCTCTTTTTTGAACAAATCAGCAGGGGAGCCCCCTACCTATATTTTTCATTTTCTATTAAGGAAATGTACAAAAAGATACAAGTATATACAAGAGGATACAAGGCATCTAGGCCCAAACATAAAAGAGAAACAAGATCATACTTAAGAGTAACTCTCTCACCGAGAGGGGCTTTTCTGGTAGGTTTGGCTTTGGTGCACACTAGTCCAAGCTCATCCCTGAAATGTCTCTTCCATAAGCTGAAGTTGCAGGAACCATTATCAAAGATGATGCTATTTCTGGTCATCCAGATAATCCAACAAGCTGTGATCATTATTTCCCTGAAAATCGAGTTGCCAAAGTTTGTTCTAGCTTCAATAATCATGTCTAAATATGGAAGCCCCCAGCACCTCTTCCTCCGCCCTTTCTAGTCGTGCCTAACTTGTGCTCCCCTCCAGTGACCGTGCTTGATCCTAGAGTTGACACCTGTGGGGGCACGCAGAAAAGATCCGCACGCGCACGGCATCGGTGTTAGCTTTTCACCAGAAGTATTCCAGGATATCAAACTCAGGGAAACGTGTGAGTTTAACTAAGTCTAACTTAACCAGGGGTAGCAACAAAGTTAAGCATAAACAAGAGCGTAGAGAGGACTACTTAGGTTCTCTACTTCTAACTTGGATAAGTATGTATTCTACTGTTCACCTAGGAATTACTAAAGAAATGCACAAACAGAGTATGTTATTTCCGTCACAACCGGGTCCTACTTGGCCTACAGACGGGAGGTGGACTACAAAGGACTCAACCAGGCTGTCACCCCTGCGATCTACCACCGATCCGGAATGCAGGGTGCATCCACGAGTAGCCGAAAGCCTAAGCACCACGCTTACACTAATGGTTACCACTTTAACCCAAGAGCTACAAGGATTAAAGCACTCAAAAGAGTCATGATCCTAATGAACAATATAAACACAATACTTAGTTGAATCAGAAGTCGATTACCATAGATGTCTCAGAAGTAGAGTCGAGTATAGCATACCTCTGCCAAGGTACAAGCCGTAGAGAGAGCACCGACAGGCCGGCACTTCCTCCAAACTCTTCTCTCACTCTCTATCTCACTATCTTCTATTTACAAAGGCAGTGTATGGTTTGAGGAACCAGCTCATCTTGGATGAGCTGGTACATCATGAGACCATCTCTCCAATTTAGGGGAGTGACACCATTCCTCTTGCTTGTACTAAATATTAGCTTGTGAGGAATAAGTTGGTGATGGATCAACTTAATCCATTCCACTAACTAAACAAAAGGTGAGGAGTGAGAAGACTAGGGACAACAACCTTCTCAAACCAAACACCCCCTAGTTGTACATGTAAAAATCGATGGCACTTATTAGATGATGGGATGGAAAAAGGAGCTAACTAGTTTTCTGTTTTCTACTCTTACTTATTCTCATGTGGGGAGCATTGATTGCCTTGTGACTACTTTCTTTCGTGCAGTAGAGAACTCAGTGACATGATGCAGAAGGAAAAACAACGAACAGTGATGCAGAAGAATGGACTAGAAGGACAATCGAAGGAGTGATTTATTGGATGAAAGCCTTTAGAAGATTGTCCATTAGGCTTTGTTTGGAAAGCATGAGGGCAGAGTGGAGCATGGCTCAATCCCTGCCACACAGGGCACAACACCCACGCCAGGAACAAAGCCACATTGTGTGGTTTAATAAAGTACATTTTGCAATTGTAGGGTCGAGATAGTGGACTAGAGGGGATGAATAGTCCTTTCTAAAACTAATTGCACCGGCTAACTGAAACAAATGCGGAACTAAAACTATTCGGTATAGCCAAGACTACATCCCTCTATCTAAGTTCTCAAGCACCTTACAAAGATCCTAATTGAACAATTAAGGTGTCGGGGTAGCTAGAGCTCACCTAAACAATTTTATTTTGCAAAGCCACACAAACCTAAGCAACTAGTACTCAAGCAATCGGGGAACTCCTGCACATACTAGTAATGCAAAGCACACAAAGCCTAAGCAAACTATTACTACTCAACTAGCAAGGCTACACAAGCCAAACTAGAGAGCTCAACAACTACTTAGCAACACAAACAAAGCAATGTAACTAGCAAGGCTACACAAGTCAACTATTTACTCAAGAGAACTACTAATTTGCTACACAAGCAAACTATCTACACAAGGGCAACAACACAAGCACAATATATATGAATGAGTAAATACAAGCTTGTGTTAGGAGTAAGCAAACCAACAGGATGAACAAGTTGATATGGTGATTTTTATCCCGAGGTTCAATGGCTTCCCAACCACCTACTACCCGTTGAGGTAAGCTCAAGGTTGCCACTGGTCCTTTTGCTAGTAGTGACCCTCAAGTTACACTATCCCACGTGGAGTGCTCACCATGAGCTCTAGCACTCGACCCGACCGAACCACTTGACGTTCTTCACACCTCGCTCTACCAGAGTTGCTCTTCACGTCTCCCGCGGGCCAAGCACAACACCCCTCACAAGCCTTCTCCAGAGCCACGCACAAGCTTCTTGTAGGCTTCACAACGGAGATCATGCCACCAAGCCATTGAAAGGTCCTAAATGGCTAGAGGGGGGGTGAATAGCCTAATAAAATTTTCTACAGCAACACTAAGACAAGGTGGTTAGATAACTAAATGGCGTAATGCAAGTTTTGCGCTAGCACTACAAGAAAGTTGCAAGCCACCTATCCACAAGTCTAGTAAGTCATAAACTCTAAGCACTCAATGGCTAAGTAATTACTAAACTTCTAGAGAACTAGCAAGAGAGCCAAATACAACTAATAAGGTAAACTATCACTACACAAGATATGTATCAATGTAAATACAATAGAGTGATAGAGAGGGTTATACCGCCAAGGCAAGTGATCAAACAATATACACAATGAAATCCTCGAAACAATGATGACACAAGATTTTTATTTGAGGTTCACTTGCTTGCCGACAAGCTATGTACTCGTTGTAGCGATACACCCACTTGGATGTTCAGGCACTAATAGGCTTTACACGCCTAACCCGCAATTAGATGTCGCACAACCAACACAAGATGGGGATCCACAAGCTACGAGCAATCCACTAAAGATGCCTTTCGTGATCTCCCACGGGGAAGGCTCAAGAACCCCTCACAATCACCATGATCAGAGCCGGAGACAAACACCACTCTCCGCTCAACGATCTTCGCTGCTCCAAGCCATCTAGGTCTGGCAAACACCAAGAGTAACAAGAGAAATCCACAGCGAAACACAATCACCAAGTGCCTCTAGATGCAATCACTCAAGCAATGTACTTGGATGCTCTCCAATCTCACCAAATGATGAATCAATCAAGCAAGGTGAGTGAGAGATAAATGGCTAGGCTCACAAGGTTGTATTGTCAATGAAAATGGCCAAGAGTGTGAGCCCAAGCCGGCCAACATCTATTTATAGAGTCCCCTCAAAGAGACTAGCCATTATGCCCTATCCACGGGCTGTCTATGAGGCGACCGGACGCACTAACCGGACGCGCCGAGTCAGGTCAGGCAGCGTCCGGTCCACTCGATGCTGCCATGCGTCCAT